ACGTTTAACATTTTAATGTCCAATTCTTACTTAATGCTTATTTAAAAAAAACATTTTATATCATGCATATCCTAACGATTGTTTGTTAAGCTGAAAGAATTCTTAAATTGTTAGATAAAATTAAGTTCAACTGCTACACTCTATATAGAGACTTAACAACGGCTTGTTAAGAACACAATAAGAATTTCATGAGAAATATTCTTAACAACTGGTTACAATTCATTATTGAGTCAAATGCTGACTGACGTTTTTCATACTAATTGTTAGTCCATTATTTATACACTGAATTGACGACGGCTTTTTCAGTTATTTCCCGATCATGACAAGGAGTGACTGGTCGGTAGGGGATGCACACTCCTCTATGGCACCTGATCCCACCTCTGATTTTTTGATGGTCCGTGTTTGCTCTGCTCCTATTTTGTATTGTTTTATGGCAATTTGAACTAATTACTGCTCGTTATCTCTATATTTTTCATTCAGTTGCTTTCAGGGTTTAAAAAGCCTATGGTTAGCAATATCCATAATCACAGATCTGAGCCTATATTCTGATGTCAAGGAATCAAAAAATGGATTTTCCTTGACCTTTTAAACAAGACTATTTAAATGTTTCAAAGCGACAGAGCAAAGTTTGATGCGAATATGATGTTAACTGTTAATGTACATAAGGTAGTGACGAATCAAAAGAGACATCATGTAATAAAGTTTTATCGTAAGACCGATGTCCATAACCACACTTACGTCTCTGCGTATGATTTAAAAGTCCCATCACATTTACATTGCTACATTGTGGACTGAAAAGATTTCCAGCACTGTTGACATTGTTATTACATCCATAAGGGAAGTTTTAGCTGGTGTTCTAATCCGAAATTCTTCTTGTTGTCTACAGAAAGGTGTACTCAGTGAAGTGCTATTTTTATGGTGGTAAATCTTAAATCTTAAATAAATAAAAAAAATTTTCCTAACACATTTTTGAATACAAATATCACATGTAAGGTTTTATTGAATGATAAAGTGTGTGTATGTGTACATGTTGCTCAGCGAATGACATATATCCAGTTCTCAACAGAAATAAGTTAGATATTTGTTGAATTTAACGCAATTCAAAGTAAAAACAAGATGTTAAGAAATTATGCAAAAAACGTGATAAGAAGAAAACACTTGCTGTGGGATTCAACTCGACATTTAGATATATCGACGACGCATTGTCAATTTAACAATGGTAATTTCCGTTCCTAAGTCGATACGATATATCCTGATGAGACTGAGATAAAAGATACCACAGAGTTTCATACTTGGACATTTTACTTCAAAAAGACGTTAATGGTAATCTAACAGCCAACCTTTATGATAAACGTGATGACTCACTTTCCTATCGCCAACTTCCATTACTTATGCAGCAATATAACTACAACAACACGGAGTATATATATCTTAGTTGATTCGATACGCAAGAGCATGCTCAACGTATGAACAATTTCTAAAACGAGGTAAATTATTGACAAGCAAGTTGATTAAACAAGAGTAACAGTCGTCTCGTTTAAAGTCATCATTTTGTGAGTTCTATGGTCGATATAATGTCCTTGTCAGCAAATACAATTTATCATTGAATACAAATATTGATTGACGTTTTTCATATTAATTGTTTGTCTATTATTTATACACTGAATTGACGACAGATTTTTCCGTTATTTCCTGATCACGACAAGGAACACAAGGCGGATGTGACCGGTCAGCAGGGGATGCTCACTCCTCCATGGCACATGATCCCACCTCTGATGTTTCGGAGTCCCGTGTTTGCTCTGCTCCTATTTTGTATTGTTTTATGGACTTTGAGATTGAATACTGTTCGTTATCTCCATATCCTTCTTAAAGGAAGACTACAAATGTTTCTTAACAATAAAAGGACTAACATAATAATTATGATAACAAAGAAACAGAATGAGTATTGTCACATGTACACTATCCTAGCGGTTAATAGACCCGATTGGAAATGGTGAACAGATAAATGTTTGCGAACGTCAGTGGTTATCACGATGAAATTTTACTGTTATAAAAGATTTTTCTAGTTTCTAAAATTAAGCTAATGTTTTAGTATTAATATTTAGTTTAGTATTCTGATCTTTTCTTCTGCTTATGAACCTTATTCCTCTATGGACAAAATACCGGGATTTGTACTTTGAAATAAGTTGTGTACATTTGTATTCCCATTAGATATTTGGGAAAGTCTTCTATTCCAGCCACTGTCATGCGGGTACCGATTCTCAAGAGCCGAGGTAGAAACCGAAATCTGTTCCACGATTGTTTCAGGTTGATAAGTGAATTGTTCTCTTAAGTCTTTAAGCAATGCTACACAGTCTTTGATAATGAATTTGCATCATATACCGGTTTAATATGTTGTTCAGTTATAATTTACCACATTAAACATAAACATCCATTCCATAAATAAAAAAAATCGATCCTGTTTTCTGGTCAATGCAGTCTTGCAGTATGTATTGTACATATATCTACTTCAAAGAAAACGACTAGTTCAAGTAATTGAATATAGCCATGTGTATTTGTAGCTTTACATACTGTATTTTTTTTGTTGAGAAATTAAAGAAAGAGATATCATCTTCTCGGAAACTAAACTTCTGGATGTTATAAAGAGTCAAGGCCATTGGAGAGAATTACGAGGTATGTTAAGGACATAAGCAACACACCTTACCTACTGATAATTCTTCAAGTTATTCTTAATTTAAGATTATAGTGTCATTAGATGTTCATAGCAAAAAAGTCAATATGCATCATCAGGGATTTTGAAAAGATGTGATCATGAGTTGAGGAAAATTTTTGTTAAATTTAAATAAAAATATGCAAAAGTTATAGAATATATGTTCCACGTGTTTGGTTTTTCAAAACTTGTTGTAGAAGAAGTGTACAACAGCATAGATAAAGATGTTAAAAAGTAGCCCACAATTCGTTTAAGCATTGGAACTCTTCAATTCCAGCAAAAAATACAATAAATATTACATGGCGTTCGGGAGAAGTGTTAAGCGTCGAGACTGTCAAGCCTCTGAAAAGAAACCAGAACTCTAGAACAAGATTAATTGATGCAAAACTTGAAAACGATCACAAACACATACCATTCTTTGCAATTGATGCAAAGCGGCCATAAACGCGTATCATTTCAGTATTTTATAGAATTTTTGCAAATACATTTTCCAAGGAAAAAAAATCAAATTATCAAAAAGCAAAAATTACATTACCAAGCATGGTACACTTAATTTAAAAGCTGTTCCTATTTTATTAACGCATGGAAAGTGCCTTTTTTGCAACTGTAATTATTCATGTATTCAAAACGAAATTAACTACCTTTAAAAACGTTAAAAACTAATATATATTACGTAATTACATTACAGAAACTTGTTACGTTTTCCTTTTATAGCTTTTGCACACCCACCTTGGGGAGCAGTTCATACATTTACTTTTTATAAGAAAATAAATTAATGAATATCTGCTGGAAAATGAAAATTAAATTGAAACGTATAAGAGCCATTAGGAGAAGGTTTAAAGAGAATTTTTAAAAGGTTTCATTCACGACTTTCATGTTAATCCTCAATAAAGAATTATCTCTTTGAGACAATGAAAAAAAAAATGCCTCAATTTCCCATGTGCACATTCTAAAACAACTGAATAACGGAGCGTGGAAAGAAAGAAAAAAAAAAGAAATATATTCGTTTTAGATGCAAACATTTGACATCAAAATAAACACGTTTTTTCAACGTCAGCGCCTTTGTCATTATGCTTGGCTTTGTCAATTTTAATTTAATAATCCAAGATGTTAATAAGGACCTTAATTCACTTATTTTAAAAGAATCCTTAAAACGGAACCCTTATCTTTCAACTAGCGTCATGATTTTATAAATATTAGTGTATGAATTCTGTGGAAGATTGGCGATGGAAAAAAAGTAGACCTTGACACTTTCTCAGAATTGATTAATGTATCGCGGGTGTATTTTAAAATCTCTTATAAAGCAATTAAGGGTAATATGATAATCCTTCTACAAGTAAGTTTAGTAAGTAAGTTAAGTAAGTTTAATAATTCATCTATGTGAAAAAATAAGATATATTACAAAATCACTATGTAAATATTTGTCCCAGCTGAAAAAAGCAGGTAAAAACATTATCTTTGTAAGGTTAGATATTAATTTGTATTTCAGCATGTTTAGAGAAACTGAGATTTAATTCTACAAGTAATAATCCAACTTATACCCATGTACCCCCTTACTAAGGAAGAGATTTTTTTTCAAAATAATATGTCAGTTTTGAAAAAATTTTATACTCCCAACAACTAAAATAGATTTGAATTAAAATCAATTATCCATCGCTATCGAATTCCAATATATCTTTAAAATAAAGAACAAACAAAAATTCATAGCGGGTTCAGGTAAGTGTTCCACAAATCCTCTTTTTTCTTTTCACTAAAATATTAACATCAGTGAAAGGGAACCTTCAGTGCAACAATATATTCGAGAAATTCCAAATAACTTTTGGAAAATCTGAAATCACAAAATTGTTTGAGACACCTCCAAAAATTAAATCATTTATGTTATATTTTATGCATATGTATTGTACATGTACTCTGATATTTTCATAAATTTCTAGACAGTCTCTAGGGGATCACACCTGTACCTTTAACCTATGTATACATGTTTTATCCTGTATTGTTTAATATTAATTGACCCCCCCTTAATGGTTTGTTTAATGAAATAACATAATCGAAAAAAACTGCATATCTGTGTTTGGTTATTTTTTGCTGCACTAACAGACTAATATTTGGCATAGGTGGCATAAATACTGCATATTTACAGTATTTTACTTTATAAACAAAAGCATGAACACAATTTTTATTACTAGTTGTGTAGCTTTGTTCTTCATAAGCATCCCATTACCACAAGAAATTATATTTAGCCTACTTACATGTTCATTTACGCCAATCCAAGGCTAAACTATATTTTCATCAACCGCATTGTATCTGCGCCAAGTTTACGGTCACTGGTGAAACAACATTATGGAGTTATATGATCACTTTTATCGGATTTTCATTTCTTCTGTGCTTGTGTTGTTTTCTTGTATGGGTAAGCGGTTATTTGCTGATTGACAAATTTCAGATTTCTAACTAGAATTATTAAAAGATATGTATCTAACTTCAAACACGGTCTTGTATTTTGCTCTCTAAACGCATACAGGGTGATCCAAAATATGTGTCTCTTACATGTACACTCGTTTTCTATCATTCTACCTCTCTCTGTGTATACAAGTACAGCGTAATGTTGTTTGACATATTCTTAATTTGAAAATATTCTTTGTTTTTTTGTGTTCTGACCACTTGTAATATTGTTGCTTATATATTTTATTAGATCAAGTATTGTTTTCAATGTTTGAGGCGGTATTGTAAATAAACTAAGTCGGAGTAACCCGCATGTGAAGCAGTGATGATGCTGGTAAAACCATGTGCCACAACTCATTAATGTCAAAACCTTTTACGTATCAACTGCGCTTCTAAAGAGCATACATAGATCACTCTTTATAACTCTGCAAAAATGCTTCTCGATCAAAGGGTTTTTATTCAAGATACGGGATATAGATATTATACTTACAGAAAACTTTACATGATTGAATTTTACAGTAAATAGCGTCACTTATTACCGTATTATAAGTGGCATCAGATAAAATAAACCATGAAGATCATAAAAAAAAAATGATAACAAAGAATTAAAAAATTGGGGTATGAAATTTCACTCAAAGCTAATGACTACACCAGATTATTGTTTATGTATTTAATAATCATTCTGAAAAATCTGTATCATAGTCATCTCCCTCGGGAAATGATGCATTAAGGTCAAGATCTAGTAAATGACCTTAGACTAATTTTTTGGTGCCTAAGGACGGATAAGATCCATTATGACGTCATAATCAATTTCAACTTTCTTTTTCCCGTACTTTACGGCTTCAGCAGAATTATGTAGAAAATAGGCTATTTTCATGACATTCAATTTGAAATCATATGAAAAGTAAACCGGATACCTATATTAAATTTGATGTTATTTTAAAGAAGAGGCCATGAACAAACAAATTACACTGTACTGTTTTCCGAGAGACTGTAGGCAATCTGGATACATTTTCTTTGTCGAATATAATAAAAACTCCCATATTCACGACTGGTTTTCTTAATTTTGCAGTGAAAATGACAGTTTAAAACACAGTTTTCCATCTTGTTTACCTACAAATCATGCCCCGAAACACCTTATTTGACCAAGCTATAGTTGTAAAGCATCAATAAAAGATTTTATTTTTCAGATTTGATAAATATGTAGGCACCTTTCATTTACTAGATCTTGACCTTAAGTTAGAAAGCCCAAAATCGAATTCCAATGTATGCCGACGTTTTCTAGTTGGTGGTCTTACAAATAAGGACTGAAGATTGTTTAATTTGACATTCTTAACAGTGGGATGAAAGAAACGGGAAATTTTAAACTGATGATAGCGACTTTTCTAAATATAGACTTCGGTACGCGGACAAAAGAAAAAGGGAAACTAAAATGAAATCAAATTCAAATATAAATTCAGATATAAACTTCAAAGTAAAAAACAGTTGGAATGTAAGGAAAGGCTGTCCTTTTTGTTTTGTATGACCTTAAAATGACAAATGCAGAACAGATATAAATAAATAATTTGCAAAAACAATAGTGGTTGTGTAAATTATAAATTTTTAAATTATTTATTGGAAGAAAAGAGCAACCTGAAAAGGTGGCATGGTCTTTTCTTATAATCATATATTTTTTAACATTTTCCATTTTTTCTTTTCCTAATAAAAAATCAAATAGTTTTCATCATCTTAAATTCATTTTTTTTTATTTGATTATTGTGTCTAATAGAAAAATTAACTACAATATCATTTTTATATAATTTAGATGTGGTCACGGCCCTTGAATTCAACGTGACGGTACCATTCGGAGTAAAACTCCACCCGGGAGACCGATTCACGGCGTCCTGTAACATCTGGGGATATCCCCCCATTGACGTCGTCACAGATCTGACGGTGCACTGGAAATTCCACGATAGCTATATTTGTGTTTTCGGAGATAAAATGGAAGATGTTTCTGAAAAATATCAATGTTCCTCAGTAACGGAATATGACCAAGAAAGCTTTATTTTATCAATCTCAGGTAAATGTTCGGTTATTTACTGTAGATTTTTGTGTGCGCATTTTTCTTGTCGCCCTTTATTTGAACAAATTTGAATCGCCTTCTCCCAAGGATACTCTGTGCAAAATTTTGACCAACTAGACATCTAGAACTGAGAAAATTTATTTTTAATTTCATAAAAGTCAACTACAAGTTTAAGCACTTTTTATTCTAATGTTAATTTTTCTATTTATATTGTAAGAACAGAACAGCCTTAGAACAGTATATTAACTTTTTTCCTAATACGTTTTATAAAATGTCTAACATTCATAAACGTTTTTAATAGCAATAAATGTTGATTAATTTAATTTTGATAGTGAAAATAAAGTATAATTTTAATCATTATGAAAATATTCTAACCCGCTTGACAAGTACTTTCAGTACTTTGATTTCTACCATTAGCGGTGTCTTCAGAAGACAGCGGTAATTACACCTGTGAAGTCAAGGAAAAGAAGAAAACATCACCGATGCCATCCCTAGTAGAGCTTATAGTTGTTGGTAAGTTCTGTGATGATTGATTAATTGTATATTGTTTAACTTTCCTCTCGAGAATTTTTTACTCATATGGAAACGCCACCACTTGCCGGTGGAGAGCTACAAATTTTGTCCTATTCTCCACACTTAAGGCCTTTGAACAGGAAGGAATTTTTTTCGTGTCAGCACCCACTTCTACACGGGAGCTCAGTTTATACCGTCTCATCCGAAGGACCGGTCTTCACGTCCCACAGTGGGATTCGAACCCTCGACGTAAGGATCGACTTATACTTCGCGACTCTAAAGCAGACGCTGTAACCACTGTGCCACGGGTGACTTTTGTGATGAAGGTATGAGCCAAACTTAAATTCCAAAGGCACAAGTCGCAGTATATCATGAAAGATAAAGAAGATTAACTGGATAGTATATCAAGAACTATCTGTTGAGCACATAAATATTATTATGATTTCACTGCATCTTTACCCATTATTTCTAAAATTTATACTTTTTTAATCATGATGTTCACAAAAAGAAGCCAGATGGTCGTGATTTTTTTTTTTTAAATTCTTTTTCTTGAAACATCAACAGTGAACAGAAATGACAGCTAGATGGTCAAAGATTAAGATTTCCACACATAGACATTTAGGCCATTTCAAGTTTTTTTTATGTTGAGAGTCGGATAATATCTTTGAAATTATAAAATCAAAATGAAACACAATGTTTAAAATGATAAATTTTTACAAATCTTTGAAACGTAATATTCTCTTTTGCGATTAGCAACTCTCTCCTTTTTTATGGCGTTCCAAAAATATTTTGCTTGAATAAACTAGTAGTTAAACTTAGTTGCAATGTTAAAAGAATTCTTAAATGATGATGAGAAAATCTAGTGTTATGCCTTAATTGCTGCTTGATTTCCTTACGATTTGTGTTTTTTCCTGATAGAAAGATAGGATTTCTAATTTAGGGTGGACGCTTAACAAAGAAAAAAAAAATGGCCTTTTGATGTTTATGTATGATTTTGGAGTGAGTACAAGGTTTCAGTGTGTTTAGTTTCAAAGGGTATTGAAGGGTAGAATAAACTGAAAATTAATATCAAACATTGATTTTTTTTGGCATTTGCAAATCCAATTATTGAGGGAGAGAGAGAGAGAGAGGTCTCATTATATCCACGGTACATGTATCTTTCAATTTCCTTTCAGAACCTACGACAGTGTTACAAATCACGGGTAAGTGCACTCAGTTGAAATCACTTCTTTAAATCATTAAAATGCACTTACAGTTCGCTAGTGAAGTTAAAAATTGAACCATCCAATATGATCTCGATATGTAATTTTTACATATTTTATGTGGCAAAAGATCTGAAAAAGAAATTTATAAAATAATGATTTTTTGAATTTTTGTTTTCTATGCAGTAAAAATAAAAAAAGATTTTTTTTTTAAAACAATAAATTAAGAATTTATCAATATCTTGTGTGGCACATTTATTTCTAAACTTCTTGTCTCTCACACTAATGTTCTAAGCTTAAAGCAAGATTTGTTTGTTACTTAATCATTTTACAACTGAAGTTAATAAAAGTTTTGCTAATTTTATTTATAACAGAAAATCCAGAAACCACCGCCGCCACAACCATGGCTGCTAAAAACGGATGTCCTTCAAGTCACTTTCAACACCTTTTATTGCCTCTGTGTATCCAAATATTGTCATTTGTTATCCTACATAGTATCTTCAAAATTTTTACAGCCTGAGTAATGTTACATCTGTAAAATAATAGCTTTTTATAAGCGGAATGAAATTTGCTGTTATGTTTAACACTTGTGATCCCCCTTTTCAAAAGTCGAATTTGTTTTTTTAATGAGATTTGTGCAGATTTGTAATTGCTGGATGTGAAATTTCAATAGAAATGAGTTGCGGTTTACAAGAAGTTTTTATTTCAATTTTGTGTCCAACATATTTTATTCAAATTAATTAGCCCCCCCCCCCCCCAAAAAAAAAAAAAAAGAGAGAGGAAAGTTTTGTAAATTTTCCATTGATGTATCTGTAGGAAGATATCCAGATCTCTATCATCAACATGGATATGTTTAAATATGATATGATTTGAAATATTGGCCAGTAAAATGCCAATTTTGATCAAGAAGAATATTTATGTACATGCAGTTTGTTTATTAAAAAGTGAAAACGTTTAATGGTTTTGACATCTTTTAAAATGTTGTAATATATCACTTGATTTTTAAACGTAATATTATGCGGTCGTCCAGTTCTCATTCTTGTTAAATCTATGTTCAACATGTGCCTGCCAGAAAAGTTGTTCATTTATGATTTTATTGAAAATAATATGTCAGCTTCTATAGATACGATTTTAGTAATAGCTATTATCACCATATTTTGCCTGTTGTCGACGTCGCTTCATGTAATATAGTAGGATTTATAATATCGGGGAATAGAGGGTGATTTTTTCATTTTATGTTTTGGAAGCCATCATACATTACTGGGATCGTCGTTTCCGGTTTGATGACCTATATGTATTTCCTAATAATGTATTGTTCTATTCAAGTTATGAATATGAGATCATATTCTACATTTTGGTTTGAGTTATTTTGTAATTTGAAGCTCAAGTTGTTATTTATTGTAAGCATTAACTTTATAATCAGTCAGCTTTATCGGGACTACATTAATTTCGCTAGTGTCGGTAGTTACGATATTCATACGCTACATTGTTCAGCATATATTGTACAGTCTAGAGATGTTTTAATAACATTGAAGGAATCTATTGATTCGTCTAGTCGAGCTTATTTTATGTATTCTATTCCCCTTTGTTAATTTTACATAGTTTTACTTGTTGCGATGTTGTACAGTAGCTTGTGTGGCAAAAGTAGTTCTGTGCGAGAACTCAGCCTCCCGTACAAGCTACTGACTGGTTAAGAGTTCGTACGGCATAATTTCATTGGATAATTTGAGTCATATGACAGTGAATAGGAGGTTATATAAGTAAGCGCGTACTACGCTAAGACAGATTTCAGCTAGTTGTATGGCGGCAACATTCGAAAACTGAAAGAAAGAAAACAAAGACGAGGATATTGATGATTTTTGATCAAAACTTTTCTGATCATCCATTACTAGTATCCGTTCTGAAAAATAGTTGGGACAAAGAAGCTGAAACTTGCGTGGAAGTATCTTTAGGTGTGTTTAATTAAATTAAGTAAATTGTTCAGATAATGGTCTCCGGAATAAAATGGGGGCTAAATATGGATATGGGAACGCATATCTTACTTCTACTTTTCTGCTCAGTAATGGAAATATTAATGCTTTGATGAATCATGCTAAATAATGTGACCCTAATCTCTGGTGGCCCCTATATATAGGGTGAGGCCACAAAGGCAAATGATTTAATGAAAGTCTATGAAAATCTTTTGTAGAACAGAAGGGTGAAAGCGACTCAGTTGCCATTGTAGCCCATGGGCCTTATGTCCGTTAAGTTATTTGTTTTATTCTGTAGGAATAAGAACAGATAACACAATTTCATGTGTACAAGTATTGATATTGTATATACATGTAGAATTAAGGTACCGTAAAATAAAATCAAAATTATACACATTTAAGCGACTTTAAAGTTTGTTCGTTTTTCTAACCAACAACATCAGGTGTGCATGGAAGATCCACGACTTTCTGGAACTGGTCCTGATTGGTGTTAAAAGTTTTTTGATAATTGTCCGGATCTACGTAACTCGCCAGAATCCAGTGGGTTTTGATATTATCGTGCGCGGCATAGTACACGCCAGTCCAGCTCGCTACGGACCTGGCATTCCGGAATTCATTCTTATAAGCGACTGACCATCCCACAATGTATTCCGTGGTATTTACCTGTACATATCTTCCGATCAGGTCGTATTCTTTCTCAGCGTTTCCTACGGCGCTGTAATAATGCCCAGATAGTGTTCCGTTTTTACAAGAAAGTTTCATCTCTGACTGTAGTTGATTTCTCCAGACCCCTGCTAACGCACACTGTTCATCGTGTGATGATCTGCAAGATGATGAACCTGAAAAACATCACACTTAATATTTTTACAAGCAATTTACAGTGAGATTTTACTTGCTATTTATGATCAATTTATATTTTTTTCACAACGTGATATACGCAATACTATAAAAAATAGTGACTGAAGGATAGTTTTGACAGTACAGTAAATATGCTTACAGAGAAGTGCGAGGGAAGGACGTGACAAACAATGGTTCGATTCTTTATTACGGAAAACAATTAGAACCAGAGACCGTCTTCATAAAAAAGCACATAAAACTAAAAGAGAATCTGATCGGTCTGAATATAGAAAGGTACGGAATTCGGTTAACAATATGAAGAAACATGCTATGGCTAATTATTACGACAATATTGAAACATATTTAGAGGACTCAAGTAAAAATAATAATAAACTTTATTGGAAATTGATGAAGGTTTCATTCAACATTAAACTCTCTAACGAGATACCACCTATTGAAATATATAATGATAAAGGTGGTAAAAAGTTGACTTACTCTGACTCAGACAAAATTGAAACCTTAAATTCTTTTTTTTTCATCTATTTCTACTATTGATGATTCAAACGAAACACTACCAAACATGTACAATCTATGTAGTAGCACATTTTGTAAAATATCAATTGAAGAACATGAAGTATCAGACATTATTTCAATACTTCCTGTGAACAAAGCTATAGGTCCCGACTGTATAAGCCATAAAATGTTAAAATCCACTCTTCAGTCTGTTGTTAAACCACTCACTATGTTATACAACAGGTCCCTGTCAGATAGAATATTTCCATCTTTCTGGAAAATAGCTCATGTTATTCCTCTTTTTAAAAAGGATGACCCCTCTTTGGTTTCAAATTATAGACCTGTATAGCTGTTATCATGTGTTAGTAAAATTATGGAAAGAATTATTTTTAAACATGTGTACAATTATTTTCATTGCAATAACCTGTTTTATCGATATCAAGCCGGTTTTTTACCCGGACATTCTACTGTGTATCAATTACTTGAAACATATCATAGTATTGTACAAAATATTGATGAAGGAAAACTGTTGTATGGTTTTTTGTGATTTATCTAAAGCATTTGACAGAGTATGGCACAAGGGTCTCATTATTAAATTACAAACTTATGGTTTATCCGGAGATATCCTCCAGTGGTTTTCTAGTTATCTAAATCATAGGTCACAAAAAGTAATGTATAAGGATTTGTTCTCTTCAAAACTTTATTTAAATGCAGGTGTACCACAGGGCTCTGTATTGGGGCCACTTTTATTTCTGATATATGCAAATGATGTTGCTGAAAATATGATGTCCATGTGTAGATTGTTTGCTGATGATAATTCGCTTCAACAATGTTCATACAATATTTTAGACATTGAATACAAGCTAAACCACGATTTACACATTTTAGAATCATGGTCAGATAAATGGCTTCTAAAATTTAACCCATCTAAAACAAAGGTAGTCTTCTTTAACACAAAGGCCATTTCTATTATGCCAAAATTATTTTTTAAAGGGGATAGGCTAGAATGCGTCCCAGTCCATAGACACTTTGGTTTATTATTGTCACAAAATCTCAGCTGGTCTGCATATATTGACGGTATTGTAAATAATGCATAAAAACTTGGGCTTTTGAAAAAACTAAAGTTTAAATTGAGTAGAAATAACCTCTCAAAATTGTACACTACATTTATTAGACCAATGCTCGAATACGCTTCTGTTGTATGGGATGGGTGCTCTGAACAAGATTCTGAAAAGCTGGAAAAAGTACAACTAGCTGCGGCTAGAATTGTCACCGGACTTCCTATCTTTGCATCTACTGAAACACTTTATTTAGAAACTGGTTGGGAAACTTTAAAATTTAGGCGTTATGTTGCAAAAATGTCTACTATGTTCAAAATACATAAAGGGACTGTCCCTGAATATTTAAAGACATGTAATATTGTACCAAACAAGCATGAAAATGTATCAAAATACAATACCCGCAATAAAGAACAGTTCATTATTCCAAGATGTAGATTAGAACTATTCAAAAAGTCATTTGTGCCAGACGCCGTGAAACAATGGAATTTATTGAAATTAGATACAAGAGAAGCCGTAAAAACTTAAGGGCTTGTATAAAAATCATCAATCCGCCAACATATTTTTCTTTTGGTAAACGCTACACAAACATACTTCATACTAAACTAAGACACAACTGTTTACTTAATTATGATCTATATAAACGCAATATTATCAACAGTCCTCTTTGTTCTTGTGGAAAGTATGAAGATGTTTATCATTATTTTTTTGCTTGCGCAAAGTATGCAAATGCTAGAAACAATCTTTTTAACCACCTGTTCATGCTTGAAAAAATGGTTACAATTGACACTAACCTACTGCTATGGGGTGATAGAGATTTGCCTGTTTCAACTAATGTTAATAATTTTGCTGCTGTCCGTAGATTTATTACTGAAACATGTAGATTTTAAATTGATTTGTAATTAACTTGCATCACTTGAAAATATTAGAAATATTATATTTTAATGTATTATTTGCATGACATATTGTTATATTTATGGAAAGAAACTTGTAAGTTGCAAGAATTTGTTTCCAATCCATTTGACTCGTTCAATAAAATATGTTCAAAACAAGGGAAGGACGGCCGGTTTAAGTACGTTTTGACTTTAAATATTAAAACAACTGAATACACGCTAATTTAGTTTGACATATATGTGGTAGGATTGCGTTGTATGATACAAGAGACGCACAATATCTCATATGACAATTTCAACAACCTACGTATATGTCTAGTTAACGTTTATATACTTTATAAATTGAAATATTCCTATAAAACAAGTAATGAACTAAAAAAAAATAATAACCGCATAAGTTTAAAATGGCCGAAAAATGGCTCTCTCAAATCTAAAAGATAAAGGTCATATGCACCATCGAAACATTTTGAATTGGCTGTGTTAATTCAAATAATTTTAAGAATATCGTAAATATGATACTACCATATCATAAATATAATACTACCCAGCCCAATATGAGTTGAAATAGGGCAACTTGGATTAAAATGTCATATGTAGGGATATTATCATTTAATATTTTTCATGTATTTCAACTCACTAGCCGCCCTGGGAAAAGACTGAACAGCTAACACAGTACACAACAAAACC